CCTTTTTTTCGTCATTCTGTTCAGATAAAAATTGTAGATATGCTCTTTTCTCTTTCCGCACCTGAGTAAGCGCGTGATTTCTTTTTTGCTTATAAATATTTAGGTTTTCTACAGTTTTATTTGTTTTATATGTAGTATGGGCAATATCTCTTTCTTTAAGAACGTCACGTAGGCGGGGAGATAGCCATGGAGCAGGTGGTTTGTTTACTCTAAAAGTAGTTACAGGAGCATGTTTATCATAAACTCTCATCAGTGTATTTGTTAGGAACTCAACTTTAGCATCTATATGGTTCATAAAAAATAAGTCGTCTAAATTTGCAAAAGCTAAGTCACTTAGAAAATATTCTTCGTTGAAGCACTTGAAGTTCCTTACAGTTACAAACCGTTGTTTATTTTTCAAATCAGGAATGGATAGAGTGCACGATACCATTTTGTGGTCAGATATGCCGTTAGAATCAAGAACCAAACAGTCGGAAATAATGTGTGGTTTATTAGTAAAAACTGGATCTAATAAGGATGCTGTGTTACTTGTCACTCTTGTAGGATCACTGACAATTTGAGAAAAACCCACCATTTGAAAGCATGGAGAAAGGACGTTGTTGCCGCTCAAAATATCAACATTCAGATCTCCTACAATAACAATGTTATCAAAAATTGTTTGACATTAACGGTAACATGAGATCTAGAGCGCTGATGCAATCATTGAGGTTTTGTGAGGGTGGTCTATACAACACACCCAAAAGCAAGAGGTATTTGTTTATTTTTATGCTGACCCACAGTTGTTCCAAGCAATTTCCAAAAATGTTGTCAAAGTTAATAATTTCGACCTGAAGGTCAGTGGATATGTAGACTCCTACTCCGCCACCGCGGGATCCCCTGTCACTACGGAACAGATTGTAATTATTGATACCCACCGCATCATTGGTAATGTCTTGGCTCAACCATGTTTCACTTACAGCGAAAATACCGAACCGCTCAGTCTGAATCAGGTCAATAATTGCAGCAAAGTCGGACATGAGACAATAGACCTTATGATTTGAATAAAGAGAGTTGTTCAGCTTTCGTTCGTTATCCACCGAGACCAAACCTACACCATGCCCAAGAGTTGTCAAATAGCACGAATCAGCTGTCCATGGTTGGCCGTCTGTGGTCTGACGAACACAAGCTATATTACTAACTTATGAAATATCATTTTCGAAATATTTCATGATCACAATACTTCCTCGGCAGTGGCGTAGTAAGAAAAAAACATGTAGGAGTAATCAGGATAGCTCCATGTTAGTAGAGCAAAATACTGCCATTTAATATTAAGAGAAAAAACGGTATAAGGAAATATCTGCTTCCCATCCTTCTTTCAGACGTTTTGGACACCCTACTATGGTAGCCTTCAAAATGATTCCATTTATCGGCCAGAGAAGGAGTGAGAGATTCCATATTCAGCTTGAAAACATCATGAATGTTCTAACAATTCCATTAAACTTAGACGTAAAATACGTGTCTAAAAATAGCTTATCAAAATCCAGTTTGTAGTTCCCTCGTGAGGATGTAAATACCACTTTGGTTTCCAAATTATCTGTCGAATATTTAAACGTAGTTGTTTTAAATCTCTAGAATTACTATAAATAGACCAATTCCCATTTTCGTTATGTAATTGCTTGTTCCATAGCGTTACAATTTATCTACGTTAAGTATAATGTCTTGTATAGTCTACTGCTGATAACAGCAAATCAATGCTTTATATACAACGATAATACAGTTTTCATGTTAGTCAGCTTGAGATCCTTAATATAGACCAGCTAGTTGTTTGTTTGCCCTTTAACATATGTGAGCATGTTGAATAGGCATTACTTCTATCTCTTAAACAATATCAGACGGTAGATGGAAATGTGCTATACTAATAGTCGATTGCTTCTATCAGAGAATATCAGATATACTCAAATTAAGTCACGACCTGATGTTGCTTGCCTCTACTGCTAATCTTGTCCATTGTAAATGGCCGTTCGGGCCTGCCAGAGAGCATTATTGGAAATACCGCAAAAAGTACCCAGTTTTTTGAACCTCTCATTATGTATGTTTTAATACTACTCAAACAAAAATATTCCGAGTTTGGATCCTGCTTCAAAAATGTGCCCACTTCTAAAAATTTGTTGGGTTGGACTTCCGTTGCGCACCATATATTTAGCATCGAAACAGTTTTAGTCAAACGCCATTACACAACTGATCTCAATATTTTGCCTTCTTTAACTGTAGCTTTCGTCCGATCCAAACAAATAATCGAGTCCTTATAGGTAAAGCTTAGAGACTATTCCCAATTTTTATCGCATACCTTGGGATCCTGAACGACCTGGCAATCTTGGTTCCAACTATTCCAACTTTGGTAACCGCTCAAGTCTCACATCATTCGATCGAGCAGACACTGAAAACGTGATATCGTTTTCATTACAAAAGGGAGATATGAAAGTCCTTGTAAAAACGTAAGCACAAAGGGTATATCTGCAGTTTTCAGGCATATTTGGTGTTTTATTAATTAGTAAATCAGTTGCTTTTCCTCTACCCAGTCGTTAAGTTTACTTGAAATTCTACATTTTTGTTTGACGTATCTGCACAAAAATGTCATGTTTTACTAAAGGTAATGAGCTATGACAATGCCGCTGTAGATACGACTTTTCTCATTCCTTCGTGTAAAACTTTTATGACTTAGTAATGTAACAGTTGCCACTTTTATTGCTTTAGTATACTCGTAACAATAGGAATAGCTGCGGTAGATACGACTTTATTGCCTGGTAACGTGTACAAGCTACTTTAAAGCGTTTAGTAATCTAACAGTTGCCACTATTTGCTGTGTTTTGGCTAGTAATATTCAACCTCAAAAGCAAGTTAACCGTATATGCTGCAGATACCACGCACTCGATTTATTATTTATAAGTTGTACATACGCCTATGTTGCATAGTATTTTAACATCAGTTATTGTTTTTAATTGGCTGTATCTGCTTAACGAAATGGTATTTTCAAGAAATTCAACATTGCCTATGTGAAAAAATAATTAATTTTTGCCTTTCGGTAAACAAGAATAAAGATAGGTTCAAACTTTGAAGTCTTTTTTCTCGATTTCTCTCTCTCTCGAAAACACTGCTCAAAGCTCATAAAATGGACTGATTTACTAGATATAAAAAACCAAATATATCCGAAAATTGCAGATTTTGCTGTGCCGTATATTATAGTTTGATAGAATAGATAGAGACTTTTGATGCGAAACATTTCGTGATCACCCCCATCTTTTGAGCATATTTGCGTGAAGAATGGTGATTTTATAAAAGCCTCTCCACACTCACGCGAGAATCTCGCGAGAAAGCGAGAAAAACATGAGAAATGGGAATGTGGAACCCGGAACCCATTTTCACGCAACATTTTGCCTTCCTTGTTAGAAGATGTGCCATTAAGTGTAAGACAATCAATGTGGTTTCTGCACGATGGTGCACCGCCCAATTTTAGACGCGAAGTGCGTGAGTTTTTGAATGAATTATTTCCGAATAGGTGGATCGGACATAATGGACCCGTAGCGTGGCCTCCGCGATCTCCAGACTTAACACCATGTGATTTTTTTCTTTGGGGAGAAATGAAACGCTTAGTGTACAAAACTGAAGTGCATACGGTGGACGAACTTCATCTCAGAATTGAACAAGCTGGTGCTTTCATTCGGGGGAGAGACTCCATTCTCAAAGCCTGCACCGATGCTTGGCTACGTCGTGCACGCACCTGTGTTTTTGAATCAAACGGCGATAACTTCGAACAATACCTATAAAGTACGTTTACCTAAAAACTGAAAACGCGGCAACGCCGTCATATTTGTTACCTCTGTTCGTGGTCTGCACCACCGCCAGCGTCTGCTCGGTAGCGCATCAGCTGATTTCATTTTCCCTTGGAGCGGTATGATTTCGGGCAGAGACGTACTTAGCCCTTCTCGTCAACTGGCGAGTGAGTACTTTTTCCTTTATTTTTTTTACTTGGTCGCCCGCGTTTCACTACACATTACCTTTGTTATTTCAAGGGTAGTTGTTTCTGAAAAGGAAAACCCCAACTTTGCGGACACCCTGTATAGATATATCAAAAAAGTAAAAGCAGGAAATACTAACGCAGTTGTGGGCTACCGTTGCGTCAACCGAGTGTTTACTAATAACGAGGAAAGTAATCTACGCGACTATTTAATCGAGTGCTCTGCAGTTTATTTTGGATTATCTTCATCTGTAGTAAGTACGTAAACTGGCATACGAGTTAGCGAATAAAAATGGAAAAACATTTTCTGAAAAGTGGCACGATAGTCGAATGGCGGGTAAGGAATGGTTGACGGGTTTTTTAAAACGACACCCGAGCTTGTCTTTAAGATCTCCTCAAGCAACGAGTCTGTCACGGGCTTCAAGTTTTAACGAGCATAATGTGAGTAAATTTTTTGATAACCTTGCTGAAGTAATGGATAGGTACCAATTTGAGCCAAAAGATATCTGGAATATGGACGAGACAGGGGTAACCACTGTCCAAAAACCTAGCAAAATTGTAGCTCAAAAAGTAATTAAGCAAGTAGATGCAGTAACCTCTGCAGAGCGCGGAAGACTAGTAACTGTTGCTGTTGCCATTAATGCTCAAGGAGGACACATCCCGCCTTTTTTCGTATTCCCGCTGAAACGATTCCAAAACTATATGATACGTGAGGGTCCTGTTGGTTGTGCTGGAGCTGGCAATGCTGGCGGATGGATGAAGGATACAGAATTTTTACTGTTTCAACAACATTTTAAAAGACAAGTCAAGCCCACAGTTGATCAAAAATGTTTGTTACTACTCAACAACCATGCATCACATATATCTATTCAAGCTATAGACTTTTGTAAAGACAACGGAATAGTACTGCTATCGTTTCCACCCCATTGCACCCACAAGCTTCAGCCTTTGGATAGAGCAGTATTTGGGCCATTTAAGAAAATGATAAACACCTACAGACAACTGGATGCGAAATCATCTTGGTAGAACGATGACTATTCATTACATTCCTGGTTTTGTTAAAGAAGCATTTCCTCTTTCTGTAACTGATAAAAATGCAATTGCTGGATTTTCCTGTACCGGTATAAGTCCATTTAATAGGAATATATTTACTGCTGTTGACTACGCGCCATCATCTGTGACTGACCGGCCGTTACAAGTTAACAGAGAAGTTTCACCAAATGATATGTTGATTAGTTCTGACGCAACGTCATCCATTCAAGTTGATCCAAGTACTCCAGTTGGTGATCTTCCAACATCAGTTGACCAGAATGTTCACCGTACTGATAGCAATGATTTATCAAACAAATCAAACAATAATGACCAATCACCGGCTGTTGAAAATATACCGGACCTCATCTCTGCTAGCACTGATCTTCTGTCAGCTAACTCAATTTTTGATCAAAGATCCAAAACACCAGTGCCAGGACCTAGCGAGCTGCAACAAGCAAATTCTACCCAGCCGTTTAATTTCTCACCTAAAGATCTTATACCTTTACCGCAAGCGGATCCGAGGACTGAAACAAATGAAGGTACGTAAAAAACGTAAAACTGCCATTCTCACGGACACTCCCGAAAAAAATTTAATTGAACAAGAGCACCAACAACGAAAGAAAACCAGTACTGGAGAAGGTAAGAGAAAATTGATATCTGCAAAAGGAAAGGGAAAAGGAAAGAAGACAAAGAAGGCACCAAAAGAAAAAGAAGATAGGTCTGACGACGAAGATTGCTTCTGTCTTGTCTGTTTAGAAACTTTTGGCAATAGTCGACCAAATGAACAATGGATACAATGTATCGAATGTAAAATGTGATCCCATGTGGAATGCGTGGGTGATGATAACAATTATGTGTGCCATAATTGCGATTCCGGGTAGGATAATAATGACTGAATTATAAAAGTCTGATTATAAAAGAATGATTAAGATTATGTACTCTATTGATCTGATTACTTAAACTAAAAAATATTTTTGTTTGATTTGTTTTCTTAAAATATATATTTTTTGTAATTTAAAATACAGAAGTTTATTTGTGTTATCAATTCAAAATTTTGAAATAAATAATTTGTTGGCTTGCCATGTATAATATTGTATTCATTACCAACCCCTATGTAGTGTTACTTTCGACCCTCAATGTGTTACTTTCGACCTGCCCATGTGGTCGAAAGTAACAACTAAGGCTTTTTTCTTAATTTCTATTATTCCTATAAAACACAGCATAATATAATAAAAAGTTACTAGTCTAAAGAACATAAACTGAATTTATATATGGTTATATTAACTTAATGACAACATTAACACCCAGCCAGAAATCAAGGTAAAGGTACAGAGTGTTACTTTTGTACCCGATCTCCCCTATCTTGATGGAATTACCCATTGAAGAATTGCGTCCATCGTCATCGAGCATGATAACTGTATTGCGAACCTTGCGAGTGTGGACCCAAAGAAGTTCTCGCCGAGATTTTTGCTGAGATTCTTGCCGAGATTAACGGCGAGATTCTCGGATTTAATTTTCCATGGACGTAACATCATATATGATTCATCACAGGCAAACCCACCAACGTATTCCACAATTTCTTAACATCAACAGATCTGTTTATAATCTAGAATGAAGATTAACAGAATTACCTATTTACGCACTATTACACTACTAATTTTCATCACAGGCAAGCCCACCAACGTATTCCACAATTTCTGAACATCACCAGATCTGTTTACAATCTAGAATGAAGATTGACATAATTGCCTATTTACGCACTATTACACTACTAATTGAAAGTTGCTAACTGAAATTACGTATTTGACTCATAGTTACTAAACAATATAGCTAAGGAAGCAGTAGATATCCCTGCACTCAATAGCTAGCTTCTACTCACAGCACTCGCAACTTGCTGAAAGGGGGGGAGGGGGTAATAGAGAATCTTTACTTCCGAAAATATCGTATGGCTTCTACCGATACTAAGTACATCTTTTCTTCTTCATCTTTGTCTAATTCGATGGCCAATATACCGGGCCTCGACTTGTATTGAACCTGTCCTTTTATGAGCATCTTTTAGTATATGTAGATAGTATACTACTATTAAAAAAAGGCATAAAGTAGGTTTACTCTGCACTTCCAACGCTAAGCTGTCATCAGTTCGTAACGGATTATGTTTGTCATAAGTAAGATCTGCTGATAAAAAAGTTAACCACGTACATGCATAATAAAAAATTAAATGACCTTCCTCCTCCCACTCAGAGGAATTGCTGCAGGCGTACATGATATTGGTCTTCACCATTCACGGTCCGCGCAGCCCTGTGACGCAAAGCCACCGACGACGACACACGTATCGACACCCGACTGTAGGAGGTATTTCTAAGTTTCAAGCTTAATGTTTAAGGACATCCATGATGAGTGAAATATGTTCCTAGATTTTCTGTGGTTGGGGGCGTATAAAAATACCAACGTCAACAAATTGAGATTCTCTCGTCCACCTTTGCAACCCCTAACCCCAATTTTCAATCCCTATAAAAAGGTTTCTGAAAATGATCAGGATCGTCTGAAACGTCAAAATCGAAGTTTAAGCGATTTTTATTTTTTTGTTTTTGACCGTTTCCTCCGCCGCCACTGAACCGATTCACAAAAACTACAAAGTTTGTGTACAAATTTCATCAAAATCCGAGGCGGTTATGAGATTAGCGATAAACAGACAGACCGACGGAATTGAGTTACATGTAATACAACATCCAAAAAACATAATATCTCATTTTCTAAAATGTTCGCGACTACAATACAATACACCTGTAATGTTGTTATGACTGTCAACTACCATGAATGCCATAAAATTAATGGTTTTATTGGACATAACATCCTCCAACATAGTTTTGGCAATGCCTTCTACATACCTTGCAATCAAAATTGTGTTTAATGGAATTAGAAAATTCTACATAAGCCTTGAACATGTAAAATTTGATACACATGGTTTTTCGTAGAGAAAATATATACACATATACAATATGTATATTGTATATATAACTTATGAATGGATCAACGAAAGCCAGATGATAGATGATCCAATACCTCGAAGTAATCCCTATAGAGAAAGACGTGCCAATTTTTTTATGGTAGAAAGTACGTCAAAAAATAACAACAAATGTTCCCATAAATACGGGTCCAAAGATACAAGTGTTACTTTCGAAAGATTTTAGATGTTTAGTTAGTATACATCATGATCAGTAAACACATAGAGGTTCCCGTACCAAAATTAATCTGGGACGTAGAAACTGGGGTACCTGGACCCCTAACAGCAAGTATTTTTTACTTCACTGACCTTTTCCTAGAAAAGAAGTACATTTTATAAAACATCGCTAAATTTTAAAAATGTTGTCTTTTCAGATCACTCGTTTTGGAGGTAACTTATGTCCGAACAGCTGAGGTGAAATCCTAAAATACTATTATGAAAAGTTTTAGCCTTCCCTGTTCTGAAAATACGATTGGGCGTGATATTGGAAACATGTGAGCTCAACAAAGAAGGTATCGCAAATCGTTAGCAACCTCGGACACGAAGTATGAGGACGAAGTATGCAGAAGGCTTTTTCAATACTGTTCGTACTACGCCAGAGAGTATTTGTGGCGTAGAGCACGGGCTTTTGTTGGATCCAGGTGGTCACTTTCAACACGTCCTTTGGGTTGGATGTAATATCATTTATTCAGCATTATTTTTTGTTCCCAATGGTATGTCCTCATAAATTTAGAAATAACCACGTAAGTTGTATCAAATGTAATGTTTATTGTTATAGTGTTTAATTCTGATTAACTTATTAATTTTTGAAATAACCATTTTCTTTGTTTTAAGGTTCTTTTATCTATAATCAAAAATGAATATGCCAGCAAAATCAGTGGCTTGCATAGGAAACGTTTAATGCACTTCTTTTCTCCGAAAAGGCCAGTGGCGTATAAAATATTTCATACTAGGTGTCCAGGTACCCTGGTTTCTACATCCCTGGTTTATTTTGGGCCGGGAAACTCTGTATTTTTATTGGTTATGATGTGCTGACTGAACGTCTTAAGTCTCAACTCAGTATGTTTACCCACTCCATAGATATATATTTTTTTCAATTTTGCAAATAAAACATCATCACCCTATATCTCGGTAGGGGAGCCTCATTGGGCCCATAGTTATGGGAACTTTTCTTATTATTTTTGGATGTACTTTCTACCCTAGAAATTTTGGTCTCTTTTCAAACACCCTGTATGTATTACTCGAAATTCAAAGGTCCATGAAATATAATATTTCCAATTGTGTGAAATTTTGGAAAACATCCGATTTTGCCAGATTAACCCAAGTATCAGATTGACGACTGTGATTTTTTTTTATTTGAGGTAGTTGAATATTTGGTCTTCTTGACCCTATGCTGCTTTGAGGGCAAACTTCACGAATGTCCGAATAAAACAAATATTTCAACTTTTGCTGGATAGTTATGCTCTCCTCAACTTCTGAGAGATGACAACAAGAAGTTCACTCTATGATTACTGCTAGAATCTTAGATTCTATTATGAGTCAACCACCTCGGCAAAAATAGAATATTTAAAGAACTAGAAATGCCAAATAAACTCTTTGCAATTGTTTTTAAATAGGTAATTATAGTTGTAGTCACCGTTCTTGACGGGTCAAAATAAGACTACCAGTATCCCTTTATACAGGGTGACTTCGAAGTTGAGTCATTTATTTTAACACTGAATAGATCTGATCAAACGAAATGTTTTTTTCCTTTACCATTTTTCTGGTAAAATTAAAGTAACAAAGTTATAGCCCTTTGGAAGTTTGAGTACCGCCCTGTCTCAATATCATGTGCTCGTGTTTGGCAACAACGGATATAATCCGCCTTACCGGTTCATCGCATCGGAAACAAAAAAGCGAAAGAATTTGGAACGATGTTTGTGTACAGTTTATTATTTTATTCAGTTCAGTTATACATACAGTCAGTGTCGCGTGTGAATAGTGTCTGTTGCGTGGCTCAAACGAAATAAAAAATGGCACATGTCTATGCGGATCGGTTTCCCAATCGAGTGCAACCAACCCCTCGTGCCTTTGTTAATGTAGTACAACGGGCTCGTGAATCAGGTGACTTAAGACCTCACAGGGGACCTCACGATCAAATACAGGTCCGCACTGAAATACTTGTCGGGAGGATACTTTATAAAACAAGGTAAAAATTTTTTTTTTATTTTTTTTTATTTTTACACACATATTTTGGTTTATCTTCCTTCTACAATCATTATCTGAAAATTAATGACTCAACTTCAAAGTCACCCTGTATATCTCCATCTCCCTCATACATACACATGCAACCTACTCCTGTGAGTGAACGTTTATTCAGTAAGGTCAAAGACATACGTTTTTTAGTTGTGTGTCTCCGTCTCGAAAACTTTGTCGTTACGTATGAGTGCCCTTCAATCATATTTGTCAGAGTGACAACTTACTTGACATCGGCGTGCAATTTGAGTTGTCTGTTATCAATCTTCAATATAATATTGTACAATTCCCAGAAATACGATCAATGG